GGAGGGGGTGGAGGGGGAGGAGTGTAGGCGGGGAGGGAGGATAGAGGGGTAGAGAGGGGAGGGAGTGGGGGTAATGGGGGGAGGGGTTTGCAGAAGCAAATATCTATGGCTATGAAACACTCGCTCCACATTCACTGATACTACATTCATTCAATATTCTATGCAGGCAACTCTCATCTCACATTTTGAAGAAAAACCCTTGTGGCAAGCTGGAGAGATCAACACATCAAAAGAAACTCTATTGAATTCATAGGAATGGAACCAGCATCTCAATCCAAAGGACACACAGATGTGAAAGATGAATGTTTTACAAATGTATTTTTATTCAACATATCATACCATTCAAAAAGAGCTCCAAAGATTCCCAGAAATCCATCTTGTACCCTGTCAATACTGGCCCAAGAGTCATGTCCCTTGAGGACCTCGCACGTCAGGTCCAATATAGCATGCGAAAGAGGGCACTGTGGCTCCTCTACCACCATATCTCCTGCTACTTCAGTCACACAACTTGGATCATCAGAGCTAGACGTGACAGAAGGGATGTCTATTTCTCCTCCATTTACAGTGCTATATTTGAAATTTTTTTCGTGTCCTCGTGTAGTAGTTTTCCTGGTATCAACTGGGATACTTTGAATATAAACATCTTTTTTATTCTCACCCATGGGGGAGGACCGAGAAGCATATTTTTTGCGCAACTTCTTAGAATCAGGAATCTTCTTTTGAAATGCTTTAACCTTGTCTTTAACTTGATGTAAGTTTTCCAATGACTCTTCTCCTTTTTCCTTTGAAAATGCTTTCACTTTATCTTTAGCATGGCTTAGGTGTTCAACAGTTTCAATCTTTTTCTCTTTAGAAAACGCTTTGACTTTCTCCTTTGCTTGATCTAGGTTTTCCATTGTTTCAATCTTTTTTTCTTTAGAGAAAGCTTTCACCTTATCTTTAGCATGGCTTAGTTGTTCAAGCTTTGCATCCTTAGACAAGGACTTCACCTTCTCTTTTGCCTGACTAAGATGCTCAACTGTTTCAGCTTTTTTATCCCTAGAAAAGTTTTTAACTTTGTCTTTAGCATGGCTAAACGGTTCCATCGAATCAAATTTGGTTTCTTTGGAGAAGGCCTTTACTTTATCTTTCGCATGACTAAGTTGTTCAACTGTTTCAATCTTCTTTTCCTTTGAGAGTGTTTTAATTTTCTCTTTAGCATGACTCAGATTCTCCATCGATTCGACCTTCTTTTCCTTAGCCTTTTGAGCTGCAAGCTTTAACTTTTCAACATTACTTTTAGAAAATTTAAGTTGATGTGAAAACTTGGACTTTTGTTGGTCATTAGTAGGATCTGTTAGTTCATCTGCTGGACAAGGAGGTGGTGGTCTTTCTGGGACCTCTGGTTTTGGTTTCTTTTCATGAACATCTTTCTGGAACCACTGTTTACCAAAATCAATAGTATCTTTTTCATTCAAGCTTCCTGTACTAACAGAATGAGTTAAGGTAGATGGGATGCACAGTCCTGGAGATTTGCTTCCTAGAACACCATTCAACATGTCATCTTGTGACACGGCAGAGGCTGTGGAAGGTTCGTTTGGGCTGTCACTTGTGTCACCTGCAGTTCTTGGGGCAAGAAGATGTAGAAGATCGTCGTCGTCATCATCGTCATCGTCATTACCACTGCTGTCATCATAGCTGTTATCCGTATCAGTATCATGATATGTCAGATATGGTGTTGATAGCTGTGAAATCAATTTAGATATAATAAATATCTCATTAACTAAAACTGCCGTGCCCTGACTTAGATCAGCCCAGAGGTTGTTTCAGGGTTTGATCTGTGAGTTAGTTGTGCCCTGACTTAGATCAGCCCATAGGTTGTTTCAGGGTTGGATCTGTGAGTTAGCCATGCCCTGACTTAGATCAGCCCAGAGGTTGTTTCAGGGTTGGATCTGTGAGTTAGCCATGCCCTGACTTAGATCAGCCCATAGGTTGTTTCAGGGTTGGATCTGTGAGTTAGCCATGCCNTTGGATCTGTGAGTTAGCCATGCCCTGACTTAGATCAGCCCATAGGTTGTTTCAGGGTTGGATCTGTGAGTTAGCCATGCCCTGACTTAGATCAGACCAGAGGTTGTTTCAGGGTTGGATCTGTGAGTTAGCCATGACCTGACTTAGATCAGCCCAGATGTCATGGTGTTTTCCAAGTATCATACCTCAAGAGTGTCCAGAAATGCTGAGAAACAGTCACCAGCACACACCTCCTCTTTATCCACCTACAAACCCACAAAAATAATTTTTAAAAAAACGTTTTCATCAAAAATACTTATGAGTAGATTTACAGCCTCTCCATTCAACATTTATATAAATTCTTTTGATCTAAATTAGCCTTAGTTTGCGGATTTGTAGAAATGCAATTGCATTATGGGGTAGTTTTGAGGGAAGCTTCATTTGTCAGTTGACATTCTAAGTACTAGAAATGAAAGTTAAGAAAATTAACACAAAAATTAAGGTTTCCTATATCACTCTTAACTATCAGCAAGCAAAAAAGACGCCATATAGGTATTACGAGAGAATTCTTTTCGTATTTGAGTGGTGAGCACCAAAAACTATTTTCTTGAAGAAAGGCTGTTGTACAAGGCTAAATCTTGTCATTTAGAAAGTTTAACTTGTTTGGAAGTAGAGATGACCAATGAAAGTGGAATCAAAGTGTTAACCCAAAGCAAAAATTAGAATCTAAAATGAGGTTTAGGCCTTCATTTACTTATTTCCCATATATTTTCTATAAAAAAGCCTGACAAAGCAACATTCCAACACAAATGCAACAAAACATCTTTGTACAATTGAAAATACCACTTTAAACAGGCATTTTATCATAGTACATCAGTTTCTAACTGTTTGAAAAAGGTTTTGAGTGTTAACCCAAAACAAAAATTAGGATCAAAACTCATACGATCTAGTTCTAGTTTTTGCCACTTTTTGCCATTATTGTCTCGTCATTGAAAAAAATTTCCTCTAAAGCATCTCCATAATGCAACACATTCTGCAATTCCAGATAGTCTTATTTAGACTCTAAATGACGTCACCTAAAAAGAAACAACTCATTCATACATACCAATGGCTGTTCATCTATGCTACTGTGACGTACTATTGTCCAATGACAAGAACTATCTACAGTATCTGGACATGCTTTGGCTGTGTCCTCTGTCCCTTCTTGATGCTCTGCAACACAAAACAAAACAAATAAATGAAGATGATATAAAAATCCTGTAACCTTCCTAGGTCTTCTCAGATCTAGGGAAAACTCACTTTCAAGTGGTGGAGTGGGGAGTGAGGGTCTGACAGAAAATATCCTATACATTAGACTATACATTAGAAATTTGCAAGGGGTGGGGAGGGTCTGAGGAGGGTATATTGTGTAGTACCAGAAAATATCCATACCTCCCCCATGGAGGGGGACTGGAGTTTCCAAGGGGTGGGGAGGGTCTGAGGAGGGTATATTGTGTAGTACCAGAAAATATCCATACCTCCCCCATGGAGGGGAACTTGAATTTCCAAGGGGTGGGGAGGGTCTGAGGAGGATATATTCTGTAGTACCAGAAAATATCCATACCTCCCCTATGGAGGGGGATTGGAATTTCAAAGGGGTGGGGAGGGTCTGAGGAGGATATATTCTGTAGTACCAGAAAATATCCATACCTCCCCCATGGAGGGGGATTGGAATTTCCAAGGGGTGGGGAGGGTCTGAGGAGGGTATATTGTGTAGTACCAGAAAATATTCATACCTCCCCCATGGAGGGGGATTGGAATTTCCAAGGGGTGGGGAGGGTCTGAGGGGGGTATATTGTGTAGTACCAGAAAATATCCATACCTCCCCCATGGAGGGGGATTGAAATTTCCAAGGGGTGGGAAGGGTCTGAGGAGGGGGACTTGAATTTCCAAGGGGTGGGGAGAGTCTGAGGAGGGTATATTCTAAAATAAAGAAAACACAAAGGAAACTTTGTTGCTCCGGAATGATCAAAAAGAATTCCATACCTATTTCGAGAGCAGTCTTAATGCTGTCAATCACTTTAGTCACCTGTCTGCTGAGCATCTGAAGAATCAAAAAAACAAAATTCATCATTAGCGCTGATTAAACTCATGGTGTTAGGTGCTTGTTCGATGTCACACTGAGGGTCTGGTCAGTGGAATACTTATATATACCTACCATAGGCAGGGAGGTTGGGAAAAAACCAAATATAACATTTATTGTGTGGTTGACAGAGGCTAGCGATAGCGAATATCATAATGCATATCATTGTTGGCCAAATTTAAGTTCAACCAGGTTATATGACAGAAATTGATTAGCCAATCAGATTGCGAATCGCGTTTGCTGAAAAAGAATCAATACCAATAGACCTTTGCACACCTTGAGAAGACGTGTGGATTGGTAATAATCAAGGTGGGTTGGTGGGTGGGTGGATGTATGGATTACATTCTTCAACAAGTCCTTACCTTGGGAACATGTACTGACTGTACTATCTGCGCAACGCTCGGTTTAATGAATGACACCCCATCAATCACACCAAGGAACTGTTTCAGATCATCACAGTCACGCAGCTCTGGTTTAGACACAAGACTCTACAACAATCACAGAAAATATCTCCATTAGTTTATGGGTCTGTAAAGAGTAATAACTCATCTGAAATGATACGTGCGTATACAGGCAAAAAACGTTGTTGTCGACCAACTGAAACCTACATGACTAGACCAAAAGGGAATATGGGTAGGAATCACTTAAGCCTGTGTCTGGATATTGGGGTTTCATTTTTATGTGACTAAACTAGTCATTGCAGACCATAAAGCTACAGACACACGGTGCAACATTGCACATGATGTTGCATGCAATTGATGTTGCAAGCCATGACGCATGATGCAATTTGTTGCACACAATGTTGCTTAAGTAGAAAACTATCCTACTTCAGCAACATTGCCTGCAATGTTGCGAGCAATATTGCACCGTGTGTCACGCCTTAAGAATTCTTTTCTAACAAAGCAAAGAACATTATATAAGGACAAACAAAAAAATAAGTGTGTTTCCTGTTGCGCGACCAACCCTAATTTTCTTACCAATTTTTGCCGACCCTAATTTTTTTCATTCCCAAATGCACCACAGGGTTCCCAGTAAGCTCATTTCCACTGTTGTATCAGTAAAAAAAATCCGACCTACCAGCCTCAATTATTTTTCTCATGCAACAGGAAACACACTTATTTTTTTGTTTGGCCTAAGTAAAAATAAACTCAATAACAGAACTGACAACACGTACCACAAGATAGTTCTGCAGCAAGCATCTCCTTCCTTCCACAACTTCCTTGTCAAGACGACCAAAAGGTAAGTTGTATTTTCTGTTTGGTTTTAAAATTCCTAGGGACAGAATGAAGTAAAAAATAGTCTGTGTGAATTTACAAATTAAAAGTAAACTTAAGCATGTGAGATCACTGCGCATTGAGCCACGAACCTCTTGCTTAGAAAGCAACACACTAACCAACCAAGCCACAAAACAAGTGTGTCACTGAGGATCAAACTATGGACCTCTTGCTTAGCAGGCAGCACACTAACCAACCAAGCCACACTTGCTCCTTAAAACAAGTGTATGAGGTCACTGAGGATCAAACTATGGACCTCTTGCTTAGAAAGCAGCACAGTAACTAACCAAGCCACACTTGCTCCTTAAAATAAGTGTGTGAGGTCACTGAGGATCAAACTATGGACCTCAGATTGCTTAGCAGGCAGCACAATAACCAACCAAGCCACACTTGCACTTTAAAACAAGTGTGTGAGGTCACTGAGGATCAAACTATGGACCTCTTGCTTAGCAGGCAGCACACTAACCAACCAAGCCACACTTGTTCAATTATATCTTCCTCCCAACACAACATACCTTTCATGTACATTGCGGTAGGCCCGCTGCAGAGCCGGCTATGAAGTTCCATGAATTCTCGGTAGCGTCTTTTGATTACTCTTTTGTAAGGTATGGTTTTCTTGTTGTGAGGATTCTCTTCTTTCTCCTCAGTTGATTGCAGCTGGTTTTTTTCATCTAACACAGCTTTGTACACACTGGGCCAGATGCGTATATCATACTGAAAGAGTGAAAGAAAAACTGTATTACTAAAATGAATGAATGGATGGATGGATGGACGGACAAACAGATGGATGGACAGACGGACGGATGGTGTATGGGTAAAGTGAAAGGAAGGGAAACTAAAATCTAATACAATATGTATGAAATTCTAGATCTAAAAATATTATGAAGTGTAGAAATCTATGTAAGAGTATACTGAACCACCCCACCCCACCCCACCCAAACCAACCCCACCCTACTCAAAATCTATAATCTAAATTCCACTAAATATACATCAAAAAATATTACATAATAGAAATCCATGTTAAATTAAAACCACCCCACCCTACCCCCTTCCCCCTTTTTTTGGCAGGAACAATAAAATCGTTTTATATGAGAAAGAATTCAATTCCCAAGAGGAAAGGGATTTTATTTTATTAAGGTTTGTGCTCCGTTGCACATGTGAGAAGACACATGAATATGGATACAGCTCAAACAAACAATCTTGTTCTCAAGGGAATGACACGTGGTCTGAAATGGGAAAACATTACCCCAAGCCGAAGAGGTCTATTAGTACTATGAAAATGTCATCAGACCACTGAATGGGTGATAAATACTAACCACAACTTGGTTGATTAAAGTTTATACAGACATGTAAAACCACACCAGACGAAACAGATGTGAATTCTATTGAACAGTTGGACAAATAATAATACAGTACGACCATATAGCTTACCACACTTTCACATGGCTACTATAGCATTATAAGATGTCAATTCTGATCGCCGGTCTTATTCATCTCGATAATAATCTTAGGGAAAATTAGAAGAGATAACTAGCTAAAAACTAGTGTGAGCTGCATCGGTGTTTCTAATGAAACAGTAATGATAAAAAGGTAAATTATACACCGTGAAAAGATGAAAAAACTTACTGACGTTTCGGACGCTAGTCCTTCGTAAAGTAAAAGAGAGCAAATTTTAGGTAACATTAAGAGTTTGTTTGATGTGTTGTTTATTCCCTTGCCATAAGCTTTTCTCTAGATTCTTAGGCTTTCCCTCCATAAGAATCAATATATTATGAGTATTCAGATCAAATTTGGTCACCTCCGATAAAAAGGTTTTGAAAATTTTAAATTTATTTAAAAATAATTGAACTACAAGTGTAACTTGAAAACAATATATATAATATTGATTGTATTGCTAGTGAGAGAGAGAGTAAATAGAAAATAGTATATTTAAGAGGAAATTTTTTTCAATAATAAGCAATAATGACCTTTTTGAAGCGGTATTTTCAATTTGTACAAAGATGTTTGGCTGCATTTGTGTTAGAATGTTGCTTTGTCAGGCTTTTTCATAGAAAACATATATGGGAAATAAGCAAATGAAGGCGTAAACCTCATTTTTGAATAACGTTTTTGCTTTGGGTTAACACTTTGATTCCACTTTCATCAGTCATCTCCACTTACAAACAAGTTAAACTTTCTGAATAACAAGATTTAGCCTTGTACAACAGCCTTTCAAGAAAATATTTTTTGGCGCTCACTGCTTGAATACGAAAAGAATTTTCTCTTAAAAGGTAAAAAATAAAAAATATTTAAACTAGCATAAATGTATAAAAGGTTTTTAAATTTTAATTCTATTTAAAAATAACTGAACACAAGTGTGACTTGTACACATTTAGGATATTGATTGTATTGGTCGTGTAGCTAGTAAACTAAATTGGAAAATTATAGTATTTTAAATACCTATAATACATTTTAAAAAATTATTGTAAATCTTTGTAAAGGCACTTGTAAATGTTTCAAAGGATTTTCCTACGATAAGCTTCAGGATCTTGCTAATCGTTAGAAAGAAAACTGCATTGGAAACTTGAATCAAAGTCCTACAGTATTAGTTTTTTCCTCAAAGAATATCGTGAAAGTATTTTTCTATTTACGAATAAAGATTTTAATTTCGTTACTTTTGTTTGTAAGTTGTTGAAAAAAGAAAAGAAAAGAAAAGAAAAAAGAAAAAAGAAATATATAACTAACAGCTTAATTAACTTAGGTGGGTGTGAAAGTTTTTAAAATCTGAATAATTAACCTACTTGTAGACAATAAATAATTTATGAAACAATTTATAATTCATTTTTTCCTTGGAGACTTTATCTATGCAGCTATACTGTTTTCCCATTTCAGACCTTCAGGCTTTAAAATAACAGTTGGTAAGTCGCTGGTCATGATGGCGGGCAAAATTTGTTTAGCTCGGTCGTACCTTGTTTCTGGCTCAACTTTACAGGTCAAAATGACTGGCAAAAAAAAGATTTGACCCGACAAGTTCTAATTCTGGGCAGACATTGTCTAATGGCTTGCCATATATTCTAAGCCCTGCCAACTTAGAAATAAGATTTCCTTTCAAGGTACTGCAGTGGAATACCAATTTATCAGAGCTTCATCTTTAAGTTAATTCCACACACAAAATAGTAAACTATAAATTAAACGAATAAAAAAAAAATGTGGAATATGCAACAGAAAAAATCTATGGGTTATAAACAAAGCTCTTCCAACCTTGGTACATGGACAACATGTTACTGATAAACATTGAAATAATACTCAAGCAAATATATGTGAACTTGAACTAAAATAAAAATCAAAAATTGTTGATTATGAAGATTTTTAGTGATGGATACACCTAATTGAAAAACGTAGTCGGGTTCGAGAAGGTCATATCATCGAAGCTAAGACCGAAAAGGTATTCTAAGGAGAGATAACTAGCTAAAAACTAGTKTGAGCTGGGTCAGTGTTTCTAATGAAACAGTAATGATAAAAAGGTAAATTATACACCGTGAAAAGATGTCCTTCAAACACTAGTCCTTCGTCAGAGTAAAAGAGAAAGAGGTGGTATTCTAAGGTATTCTAAGTATATTCTAAATATGTTTTAAAAGTCAATTTCAATTTCCCAAACAAACTTCTGGGATGAAAAGGAATGGAATTAAATGATTGAATGAAATTTTGCATTTTTTACAAAGAATTTAGCAAGAGTTTAGAGTTTAGAAAAGAATTTTATTTTTGATCATGAAAATGGAAGAAAAAATTTCAGATTATCAAAATGTATTATATGACCGTGAATCTTAGAGCCTGGACACTAGCAAATAGAGCAATCTGATTGGATAGATCGCATCACGGACTGGTCTAGATTCTCCAGTATTAACCGGTCCGATCACATATTAATCTTACAGCGAAAACATTTTGTCCTTTTCATTGAAAAGTGGTCATATAATAAAACTCTTCACTGCACTCGGTCTGTACATTCCGACCTCGGCCAAGATTATCCCGTACAGACCTCCCGCTCGGTTAATAAGATCTAAGTATAGTTCCAAAGCTTTGTAGCACTTTTCTTCTTAAATTTATATAAATTTTAAATATTTTCAAAACATAGCTTGTTATTTAGATAAGTGGAATTAGATAAAGAATAAAGACTGTTTATAAATATTTATAATGATTGTACAATGCATTGCAATAGTGAAGATAAGTTGGAAACCAATAAATGAATGAAAATAAATAAAATGAATTGATAAATGAAATGAATAACAATATTATTAATTACATTTATCAGTGGCTTTCCTATAGAGGAGCTCTTCGTCCACTGAAATTCCAATTGGAATTTTAATTTTTAACATTAATTTTTGTGACAGGACAAAACCCCTTGAAGCATAAAATAATTTAACAATAATAATAATAATAATAATAATAATAATTTTTCAATAAACAATTCTACTTAAAATGACACCAACTTCGGAAATAGACCTCTTCGACTTGGGGTAATGTTTCTCCATTTCAGACCATGTGTCTTTCCCTTGAGAATAAGATTCTTTGTTTGAGCTGTAACCATATTCATGTGTCTTCTCATGTGCAACCGAGCGCAAGTCTTAAACAAAGAAATGATACTCTAGGAAATGACATGTGGTCTGAAATGGGAAAACATTAAGTCGGAGCCGAGGAGGTCTATTGTACCAGGGTTGCATTGGTGAGAGGTGAGTGCTTTCATCGCTATGCCAACCGTGCTCCCCATAATAAATTAGTGAATGAAAGAATAAATGGGAGAGTAAATGGATGGAGTAATGAATGAATGGATAAATGAATAAATGGATGGATGAATGGATGAATAAATGAATGGATGAATGAAATAATGAATGGATGGATGAATGAATGAATGAATGAATAAATGAATGAATAAATGAATGGA